GCCAGCCCTCTGCTGTGGCCAGGGAGTGCAGTGGAGGATGGCCCAGGTGCTTGGGCCCTGCACCCCATGGGAGACCAGGAAAAGCACCTGGCTCCTGGCTCCTGCCATCGGATCAGCGCGGTGCGCCGGCCGCAGCGCGCCGGCCGCGGCGGCCATTGGAGGGTGAACCAACGGCAAAAGGAAGACCTTTCTCTCTGTCTCTCTCTCTCTCACTGTCCACTCTGCTGTCCAAAAACAGATAAAATAAGGAGGTCTCTCTGATGGAAGAGTTTCTTATCCCCCACTATAAGCTGAGTTTTGCACCAAAGTATTTGACAGGCCTTTTTACTCTCTCTTCCATGAGAGTTTTAACAACTGTTTTCATGAACTTAAAACTGTAATACTGATTTCAAAATAAGTAGTAGCATTTATGCAGTCTTGATCCATAATATTTTTAGCCTAAAGCTGTGATGTTGACTATTAAAACACATACTACACATGTAGTTAAACAAGGACACTTCTCACCTTTTAGACATTTTTTTAAAGACTCAAACCTTTTAAAAGTTTTCTCTAATTAGGCTCCTTTAAATAAGAAACATGGACCTTACCAGGACAGAGTTTGATAATCCCATTTTGCCAGTAGGTCTGTGTGCATGTGCACTCATTTGCACTCCGGCTTTGGCTTTCTGTTCACTGCTTTTGGTGTTAGCCCATCTCCATAGAGTGCCTTAATAGAATGCCAAAGAATATCTTGTCTGGTTTTTTGAATCTCAGAGATTTTGTGTCCTCAGGAAAAGTCAAGTTTCTATTTTTAAAACGCCACTAAAAGTATTAGAATGATAACGGAAAGAAAAACCACTCAAACAGGAAGCAGATGGTACTTCATTTGTAGAAGCTAACATCCTTCTTCACATCCAGGCTATCTGTTGAATGGCCGTAGGAGAATCGCCTGCAGAGTAGGGTTTCTTGTGATGAAACTTTGTTCACCAAATACATGTAAACATACAGGACTAGAAGGGGCACATGCCGTAAAAACATAGTTTGAACATCACTTCCCATCCACGTATCTTCTCTGTTTATATACTTTTTAGTCAAAATGATCAGTGCCCTTTTGTAAGAAAGTTACTTTGGGATTCAGAGGTCCATGGGAATTGTACAGTTAGCCCTTAGTATCTGAAGGAGATTGGTTCCAGGACCCTCTCTGGATACCAAAACCCACAGATGCTCAAGTAATGCATGTCCTCCTATATATTTGAAGTCCTCTCCAGATTCCTTATATTATCAGTATAGTGTAAATCATTGTTATACTTTGTTCTCTTTATAATTCCCTAAACAATAAAGTCTAAATAGTTCACCGTAGATGCAGGTTTTTTTCCTTTTAATAGTTTTGGTCTGTAGTTGGTTGAATGTGGATTTGGAACCCAAGGATACAAGGCCGACTATACTTTGCGTATCACAGAGGGGTGTTGCTTACCAGTAGTGCCACTAGGAAGCCTCCCTTTGGTGACATTCAGGTGAATGGGAATCCTCCTTTATTCCTGCACTAACCAAAAATTACGGGGAGCTTTGGGCAACTGTAGTCTAGTAATTGCTGCTCAGAACCATTTACAGACTTTAAAGAGAAGACTGTCCTGTTGGTTAACCATGTTTCTTCTGGTAGGAGGGAGTCCGCATGGAAGAAATAGTGGAAGGTTGTACGGGAGCCCTTCACATCCTAGCTCGGGATGTTCATAACCGAATTGTAATCAGAGGACTAAATACCATTCCACTGTTTGTGCAGGTATGTTGATTTTTAAATGAGGTGTTCTAGATTTTACATGTCTAAAATTTCATTGTGTTTCAGAAAATTAGGGACCAGAAAGATAGGGGAACTAACATTTAATTTTATGAAAATTGCCCCCTCACACACCCATTTTTTTGGTCAGTAGAAAGGAAAACATTGGGACTATAGCCTGTGTTTTAACTCTGGGTTTTCATTAGGTTTTGTGTTTTCTCTTTAGCTGCTCTATTCTCCCATTGAAAATATCCAAAGAGTAGCTGCAGGGGTCCTCTGTGAACTTGCTCAGGACAAGGAGGCTGCAGAAGCGATTGAAGCGGAGGGAGCCACAGCGCCTTTGACAGAATTGCTTCACTCTAGGAATGAAGGTGTTGGTGAGTAGAAAAGGAACCAGGGCTGTGGTGGCTGTCGTGTATGGTGAAGTCTCACCTGTTCCTTAAGGACCTTTTGTTTCTGTCCTTTCCCAGCCACGTACGCCGCTGCGGTTTTGTTCCGAATGTCTGAGGACAAGCCACAGGATTATAAGAAGAGGCTTTCGGTGGAGCTGACCAGTTCTCTCTTCAGAACAGAGCCAATGGCTTGGAATGAGGTGGGCAGCTGTGTCCGCACGTGGAACTGGAGCCTGTAGAGCAGGGAAGGCAGCTTGCTCTTTCCCGTAACTCGGTGCACAGATACTGGCATGGGAGTTTTCCTTATTTTTATGCTATTCAGCAACTGCTCTGGGGAGACCTGCAGGTTTTAGGAATCATTACAAACCAGTTGTGCTGCATTACATTAGAATTGCTAAGAAAGTTACAAAGATTTTTTTCAGAAGAGTGTAAAAAGTTCAGTCAATAGTTTGTCAATTTATGGATAAGTAACTACATACATTGTCGTTAGCACTTGACTTCAGTACAGATGGTCTTGGAAATATTCATTTCTAATAAAATGAGCACAGCATTGAAAGTTTGTTTTACCCATTCTATAGTGATTACAGGACCTGTTCATGTGCTAGATTATACTCTATTTGTTGAAGGACTAGAAAGAGATACTATTAAATTGAAAACGTGCAAAGTGCCAAACAGTGAATGTAATGTCTTAGGGTTTTAATAAGCATCTTACTAGCATGTTCCAACTTGATCCTTAACTTTCCCCACCCACTCCCTTCCCCAGACTTGTTTTTGTCTTGGCTAATGGCGGCTTTGCCCTTCCAACTGTTCAGGCTAAAAATCTTGAATAGAGTACATCCTGTCCTGCAGCAGCTCCTGCTGTAGGCCAGTGCTCTTGCCTGTTTGGTTTACTAGCTCCTCGTACAGTGCCTGGTGTATTGTAGGTGCTTATGAACTATGTGCACAGATGAAATGTATCTCTGTGAGGTGAAGTTTGGAAGGAATTCCATTTTCTAAGTATTTTTAAAATATTTCTTTGTATTCGTCCTTGCCTCGTTCCTATTCAGACTGCTGACCTTGGACTTGATATTGGCGCCCAGGGAGAACCCCTTGGATATCGCCAGGATGGTATGTGCCTCATATTTCTCAATTAACTCCAGATCAAGCTGAAGTTCCAGAGCTTTATCAAAAGAGCCCGTGTGCTCATCTGGGAAACCAGTGTTGGCAGGAAAATAGTGGCTGCAATTAAAGGCAATTCTTAAACTCCAGAGTCAGCAGTAGTATTTTTAAAGGATCATAGGGAATTCTGAGCCACACACACAGCAAACAGCTGGATCAGACCACACCAGCAAATGTCAGGCTTGCTCTTCTCTTTCCAGAGAATCCTTAATAACTTTGTCTTCAGCCCACCTAGGGAAGTGAAAGAATGAAGAAACTCCATCTCACTAAGTTTAGCTCTGGGTTTACTATTCAGGAAACCCAGGTAATAAGCTAATTCAAAATGTGAGTGATGAAGGTGGAGGAGAGGGTAGACCCCCAGTAGCTGTGGTCATCTTGAATTTACAAGTGTAATCTGATTTGTTGTTAATGATGACTAAACCACCGAAGCCCATAAGTGGCAATTCTTAACATGTTGTATCGGACTGTTTTCTCAGTACTTTTGTGGATGTCACTTGTACTTTTCCAAAGATAGACCCCATTTGGCTTCTCTTGATCTCCTCCCTGTGATACCTCCAAGCCTAGGCCTCAGGACTGGAGACCATCCTGGGCTGTATGCAGCCCGTGAAATTATTTGGCTAGCCCTGCCAAGGCAGTGGCAGGTGGGACTCAAAATTCTATAGATCCATAGCCAGCTACTTTTTAGGCTGATAATTTTTATGTCCTGTGACTGATGCTATAAATATCCAAATGGCTCTTGGCAGAGAAAGATTCCCCACCCCTTGGTGGTTACAGCGTAGATTGCCGCTTCTGTTCCTCGGGAACCTTAGCTCTGCCGGGGTAAATGCACCATGATGCAACTGGAACCTGCTGCTGGTGTGGTCCCCGGGTGGCCTGGCTGTTGCGAGCCTGGCACTGAGCAGTTAGTTGGCTGAAGGGAACGAGAAGCTGGAGCCAGACAAGTTGGCTGCCACACTTCAGATGCCCTCACCTGTATGTTTACCTCCTGTCTGCTGTCCCTGCCTCTTCCAGATCCCAGTTACCGTTCCTTTCACTCTGGTGGATACGGCCAGGATGCCTTGGGTATGGACCCCATGATGGAGCATGAGATGGGTGGCCACCACCCCGGTGCTGACTACCCAGTTGATGGGCTGCCAGACCTGGGGCACGCTCAGGACCTCATGGAGGGGCTGCCTCCAGGTGACAGCAATCAGCTGGCCTGGTTTGATACTGACCTGTAAATCGTCCTTTAGGTAAGAAGTTTTAAAAAGCCAGTTTGGGTAAAATACTTTTACTCTGCCTACAGAACTTCAGAAAGACTTGGTTGGTAGGGTGGGAGTGGTTTAGGCCTATTTGTAAATCACCCACAAAAACAGATATATACTTTGAAAGGAGACGTCTTGGAACATCGGAATGTTCTCAGATTTCTGGTTGTTACGTGATCATGTGTGGAAGTTATTAACTTTAATGTTTTTTGCCACAGCTTTTGCAACTTAATACTCAAATGAGTAACATTTGCTGTTTTAAACATTAATAGCAGCCTTTCTCTCTTTATACAGCTATATTGTCTGAACTTGCAATGTGATTGGCCTGTAGAGTGCTGAGAGGGCTCGAGGGGTGGGCTGGTATCTCAGAAAGTGCCTGACACACTAACCAAGCTGAGTTTCCTATGGGAACAATTGAAGTAAACTTTTTGTTCTGGTCCTTTTTGGTCGAGGAGTAACAATACAAATGGATTTTGGGAGTGACTCAAGAAGTGAAGAATGCACAAGAATGGATCACAAGATGGAATTTATCAAACCCTAGCCTTGCTTGTTAAATTTTTTTTTTAATCTGTAATGGTACTGACTTTGCTTGCTTTGAAGTAGCTCTTTTAATTTTTCTTTTCCTTTTTTCTTTTTTTTCTTTTTTTGCAGTAACTGTTAGTTTTTTAAGTCTTGTAGTGTTAAGTTATAGTGGATACTGCTACAGCGATTTCTAATTTTTAAGAATTGAGTAATGGTGTAGAACACTAATTCATAATCACTCTAATTGTAATCTGAATAAAGTGTAACATTGTGTAGCCTTTTTGTATAAAATAGACAAATAGAAATGGTCCAATTAGTTTCCTTTTTAATATGCTTAAAATAAGCAGGTGGATCTATTTCATGTTTTTGATCAAAAACTTTATTTGGGATATGTATGGGAAGGGTACATCAGTAAGAGGTGTTACTTGGAACCTTGTTTTGGACAGTTTACCAGTTGCCTTTTATCCCAAAGTTGTTGTAACCTGCTGTGATATGATGCTTCAAGAAAAACATGAGGTTATAAAAAGGGTTCAGAATTAAACTTTTAATTCATTCAGTGGTGTCACTTTGTTTTCTTCTTGTCACTCAGTGATGAGGGTAACAATATCCATCTTCCTGCAGTTAGGGTCTTGGAGGAGAGCTGTGGGCCAGGAGCCTTGGGCCAGGACCCTTCCAGCCTGGCCTCAGTCTCGTCCGGGTGACCAGAAGCCTTTGGGGCTACACTGAGCTACAAGAAACAGCAAAACTGAAAGCCAGGAGGCCTCCCTGCACAGGGTATGCCTGTAGGTAAAAAGGAAACACTACCAACCTGGGCTTGGGGCTGTAAGCACCTCCACACAGGGGTGACTCATTTGGAGGGGAATTCCTGCAGCTCCACTTTGAACTGCTAATTAAGCAGACTTATCTGAACATCCACAGGACGGGCCATCCTCCCACTCTCTGCCAGATGATCCCGTCATCCTGGTGGTAGGTCTGACAGACTTTGTTCATCTCTCAGCGCAGACCTGTTAAGACTTGTGTTTTGGTCTATAAAAGCAAGAGTGTTTTGTGTGGAGGGAAAGCTATTTCTGACCGACTGTTTTTATCAAGGTGGTAGCAGTTGGATGAACACATGAAGTTGCTTTTTGAAAGCTTTTTCCTTATACACGACAACCAACCAGCCAGTATTGCAAGGATACTGAGTGCTGCTGGTAGGTTCACGCAGCAAGTTTAACTCTGAACAGGAAGAACCTTGGCAGGATGGTTCAGTTACAGGTTTGTTCTAAACCAGAAAGCATCTTTAGAGATTTGTCCAATGTAACAAGGAAATTAATCCAGTTCAGCAAGGTAGTTCTGGACTGTACTGACAAGCACCCAGGGGGATGCAGGCACTTAAGAACAGTACAGACAACAGACTTCTGTAGCAGCTCTGAAGCCAAACTGTAGGGCTAATGGTAGGATCATTTAAAGGTACCTCAGAGGTAGAAGTGGCATCAATGTGGAAAATGCACTTTCTTGAAAAAGTATGGGATGATTAAGTAGCCATTGGAACAAATTAATGTAGAAGGTGTGTGTGCCCAAGGAAATACCAGTATCACTGACTTGCTTTCAGGCTGCATCACGTAGGTCACAGTAGCAGCACACCCACCCCAGAAGCCTATGGCTTCCATGAGAAATAGTGCAATAAAAAGGTTCACATAGTAGCGTGGGTGGGGGGTACAGCAGGGCACAGGAGTCACACATGCATGCTGTGGGACTTCATTCGTCCAAAAACAGAGGAAAAGCACTTAAAGGAAGGGATAGCTGCCAAAGTCAGAATAGTGGTTACCTGCCAAGGGAACGCAGATAGGGCAGGACGCGGGAAGTGCTGAACTGGTAGGGGTGCTGGGGCAGTTTCCTAGCAGCTATGCTGTCGTTGGGAGAACAAGACTGGTCCCGTGGCAGTGAGCAGTCAGATGGTTGTAGGCTGATATTCTAGACAGACTATTGATTGGATTATTTGAATCCTTGACAGCGAAAGGTTTTAAGATAAGTATGCTCTGTAAGTAATTTTGATTGCTATAATAAAACAAGCTTTGAATTACGCTGTTACAAAGCAAAGCCTCCAACACTGATCTGCAGTTTTGTTTTCGGTTGAGAATCTTAACTGCAATTCCGAAGTGACTGCACAGGTCTGGCAGCTTCCTACATGGAGTCCCTGCCACTTGTGAGGGGTGGGCAGACAGATGAACAGTGCAAAGGACACACTCCACTCTCTCAAGAGAGATTGGGACCCCATGTGTTTGCAAGGTAGGTTTGGCATTATCCATGAAACCTGTAAATTCTCCTGAATTTCCATCTTAGAAAAGGTTGGCAGAGCCACTGTGACAGTGGGGGTGGCACTACCCCCGGTGTTTGTCCCAGGGCCACTCAGTGCAGCACTGCTGCCAACAGAACACCAGCCTCCCTCACAGTGCCCCTGGCTCTGATGCAGAATGGTCTTGCAAGTCTGCGCGCCCATAAAGGAGCAGCAGAGCCCACCTGCGTGTGTGCGTGCCTTTACCAGACCCACCTCTGCAAGATCTGTGTGTCCGCCCCGTCACCTCGACATCAAGCCTGTTAAAGGATCCTTGTCCAAGGTCACAGCTGCTTGCTCCCAGGCTCCCCACCCCTCTGCCCAAAATGCTGGGGCCAAAGCCTCAGAAGCTCGGGCTCGCCTGACCCCTGCCCTACGCCCACCTCCAGCTCCCCCAAGGGTCCCCACTACTCCTCCTCCCAGCCCTGCCTGTGTCAGGGCTTCTGCTGCCTTGGATAGTTCTGTATTCAAGCAGAGGCAGGGGAGACCCAGTTCCAGTCCGCCTGAGGCCGCCTGGAGGTGGTGTGGACGAAGTGAGACGATGCAGGGGGCAGGACTCTGAGGTCCACTGCAGGTGGTGCCCAGCTCTGGTCAGGTGCGCTGGGCTGCCTCCTACCTCTGAACTTGAGAGACATCCTGCATTCCTGGAGCGGCTCAGCTGAGGCGCGGGAATGGAGGCAAGGATGGGACAAATTGGGGCCTAGGCCTGGGCCCCTTGCCACCGCCAGAGTCTGGGGGAGGGGGGTGTTGGGGAGCTGGTGGTCAGGAGCCAGCTGCAAGGGCAGGGCAAGCCCTCTGCTGGGTGAGTCTGCTCATCCCTCCCCCCGGGAACTCGGGCCCACCTTCCTGAGATTGATGAGGACCCTCTTCTCCACAAGGACACTGAAGTCTGGGGATGGGGGGGGGGGACGTATAAGAGGCTCAAAGGAGCTTCCGGCAGCTGGCTCCAGAGCTGCAACTTGGGGAGCCATCATGCCTTTCAAATCTTCCCCCAGGACAAGAGGGGACGCTCACAGACGGCAGCACGGAGCGTCTCCTCGGCTGCCTTGTTTGCACAGGCAGAGCTCACGACGGGGGGGATGGGAATGCAGCATGGCTGGCCGTCTCAGATGCACCCCACGGGAATGGGGAAGTCCGCTCTGAGTCCATTTTCAAGGGCCGCAGGGTAGTGAGAGCACTTGCAGCCGGCAGGTTCAGGTGCAGCTGGCTTTATTAGGTCCAAGTACAGCAGTGAGCAGTGATGTGGCGCGGGTGGGTCTGGGAGCCGGGCTTGCCTAGCACCCAGCGGCACGCAGGATCTCCAGGGCCAGGGAAGGTACCGCACTGTCGGCAGACAAGCTGAGGAAAACCAAAGCAGAAACACCTTGAATGGGCGGTGGTATCTATCTGCCATCACAGGCGCTGCCTCCATTGGTCCCTGGGTGTCTGGTGGCCCAGCTGCCACCCACATGCATTATCTTGGGAAGCAGCAGAAATCCCTGGCTCCAGGGTGAGCGAGAACCCCACAGCCCTGGGGGTGGGTGTGCACAGGGAGAACTCTCCCTTCTCAACCCCAGAACCGAGGCAGCTTCTGGCAGCATGCGCTGCTCCCTATCCGAGCCACCTCTGCACACCGACCCTGCCTGCCCCACGTTGCCAGTTGCCCTGCCAATCAGCCAGCAGCTCTGGGTGCCGTACTCTCAGAGGTGGGGACATGCAACAAGGAAGCTTCACATGAAAACTCTATTAGGGGAGCAAACTGAGACACACTGAAACCTGTGCCTTAACAACTGGTAGGGAAGCAGAGTGGCACTCACAGGGCAGTGACTCTTGAAGGTTAAAATTAGCTCGGGGCTGCACACAAATAGAGGTGGGGGTGCCATGGGAAGGACACGGGTGGCAGTGGGAGGGGCTGCGACACTAGGAGACGGTGCCGCATTTCTGCCCTGTGCATCAAAGGCCCTGAGCGACGTGGGAAATGAGTCTTAACTCGGCCTGCTCCAGGGCGGAATCCAGGCCAGTCTGGTGGGGCCCTGCTGCCCACCCTGCCCGCCAGAGCAGGCTAGACGGCTAGCAAAGGAAGCCAGGCCACCCTCTGGATGGAAAACGGTGACATCCACGCGTTCCAGGCTGACCCAGGGCCACCTGGGCGTAGCCCGCGTGAGGCAGTCTCACTGCCACGTGGCCAGGGTTGGGGCCAGAGCCAGCCACGGGTGGATGTGTGCGCTCCCAATCAGGGCAGCCCTGGCTGCCTTGGCACGAGCATGTGCTAAGTCCTGGCATCTGGCCACACTGAGCACCTTGCTAACTGGAGAGTCCCACCGAGGCAGGGGCCTCCCCCCAACCCAGCACAAGCCTATGAGGGTGGCTGCAGCGAGGCCAGGATCTCCGGGGATGGATGTCACCCACTCGTCACAAGCCACACACCCCGGGGGCACAGAGAGGTCAGAAGGGGCCTTATGTGCCCAAGCTGATGTCCCCTCCCACAGAGCCCCGCAGTCATGAAAACAACAGGCTCTCCACGCCTCGCACATCCAGTGAAGATCAAGCTCCCCTTATGTGGGGGGTGCTTCTTCCCACGGTGGGGAGAGCAACAGGCGCTGGGACTGCCCACCTCCCTCGGCTCTGGAGACCCTGCTGGGGCGAGGGGGTGGGCCTGCGTGCCTGAGCCCCCACTAGTGGCTGGCAATGGTGCTGCTGTCACGTGCAGTGAGCCCAGTCACACAGCACCGGCTTACAGAAGGGTGAGTATGTGGGGCCAGTGTTCTTCCCACTCCCCTGCCATTTCTCCTGGGCACTAACACTTTGCATAAGGATGTAACACCCGGTGTGCCCCATCCCCTGGCACCTAACTCTCACGTTTAGGGGTGCGGTGTGTGTGTGGGGGTGCATGTCACTGTGGGATGAGCTCATCCTGTAAGTCTCATTCCCACCCCACTGAGCATCAGCATGCCCGTAGGCCAGCTCCTGCCTTCACTGTGTGTGTGTGTAAAACACATGCCTCGTTGACAGTGCATGGACCTCACTTCTGGAATGTTCTATACGCGCTGGCTGGGGACTGGGAGGCTGGCCGGAGCCCACAGGCTCAGCATCCAAAGGTCATCTCTGCAGATCCAGTGTGTGGGGCTTCCACACAGCGGTGAGGAAGATGCCTCTGGCCGGGCTGCTGCTAGAGGACCTGGGTGCACACGGGCCAGGGGTGCAGCCCACCTGGTCGTCGCCCATTCCACCTGCTCAGATGCCTTGGGATGGGGATGCTACCTCCCCCGGTAGGACCAAAGCTTCCTTTCCCTCGTCGACTCCTGCCCTTTCCCCTCCGCAGTGAAGATGCCCAGTGGGTGGAGGATCTTGGGGGACAACGAGGCTGGGATTGGGGAGTCGGGGCATGGGGGAGGGGGAGCCCCTGCTCCCGCGCCCACTCACCCCCCGGTCGGGGCCAGCCGCTCCAGAGCCCGCAGGAGGCTGTCCGCCTTCTTCAGACTCTGCAAGTGCTTCTCACTGGAGGTGATCTGCAGGGGAGGGAAGGAGAGGAAAGGGCTCAGCTCCCTTCTCCCCGATTCATCCCCGTGGGATGAGTGTCAGGCCTCCGTGGTGCCCTGGGAGCGTGCCCTGAGCTGGGCACTGCTGACCACAGGGACAGAGGCAGGACATGGGGACCCTCGGGAGTGGGGCAAGACGGGGATCCACTGGAGCTTGCGATGTGCAGTTCAGGAGGTGCTGCCTCCTGTGGGTCTGGAACCCTGAATTGTCTAGGGCGAGCAAAGCTCCATACATAATCAGTGCTGGGAGCTAGCAGGCTGGGCTAGTAACTGGCAATGTGTCCTTGGGTCTCTGAGCCCAAACCAGTCAGCTCACTCATGCAGGAAGAAGGACCACGATTCTGGGTGGCTGGGGAGCCTGGCTGACAGTCAAACCCTAGGACGTGTACCCTTGCGGATCCCTGCTATCCCGGGAGAAACAGATGTGGGCGGCCTGCACCCTAAGCTCTCAGGGCTGCAAGGGGCACCCAGGGGCTGCATTACCCAGCTGCCAGGGAAGAGGGTGCTTCAGGGAGGAACCCGCGACCCTGTTAGACCTGCCCCCCTTAATTCACCATTCATGCCCTACTTTTATTCCGATTGTTACCTTCAGTACTTGTTTAGGGGCTTAGCCGAGCAGTTAAGACACTTGTCTCACGCTGGAGTGTCTGGACTTGGGTCCATGGCTCCAGCTGTCTGCTACTGCAGACCCTGGCAGGCCACAGGTGACTGCTCAAGTGACTGGGTTCCTGCTGCCCTCATGGGAGATCTGGATGGAGCTCCCAGCTCCAGCACAGTCCAGTACTGGCTTTTGTAGGCATGGCTTTTGTAGGCATTTGGGGAGTGAACCAATGGAGGGGGGCTCTCTGTCTCTCTCAAATACATACATACATACATACTCTCAGTTTGTAAGACAAATCTGTAGCATTATTAAAAATAGAAATGAGGGGCTGGCGCTGTGACATAGTGGGTAAAGCCACCGCCTGCAGTGCCTGCATTCCATATGGGCACTGGTTTGAGTTCCAGCTGCTCCACTTCCGATCCAGCTCTCTGCTATGGCCTGGGAAGCAGTAGAAGGTGACCCAAGTCTTTGGGACCCTGCACTCGCGTGGGAGACCCGGAAGAAGCTCCTGGCTCCTGGCTTTGCATCGGCACAGCTCCCGCCGTTGCAGCCATCTGGGGAGTGAACCAGCGGATTGAAGACTGACATCTACCTACCTACCTACCTACCTCTCTCTCTCTCTCTCTCTCTCTCTCTCTCTTTCTGCCTCTCCTCCTCTCTCTGTGTAACTCTTCCAAGTAAATAAATAAATCTTAAAAAAAAAAATAGAAATGGGCCCTACCATGTGTATTTGAAAAATGGATGAATTTGACATGGGAGGAGGATGGAGAGAACTCCACCCCCACTCCAGCCCCTTCTGTGGTTCACTCCCCAGATGTGAGGCTGGCAGCTCCCACACTGGGGAGGGGGCAGGAATCCAGCAACTTGAGTCATCATTGCTTTCCAGGGTCCGCATTAGCAGGAAGCTGGAGCTGGGTATGGAACCCAGGCACTCCCACATGGGACGTAGCTGTCTCAATCAGCAGGTCAAACATCCACCTCCCTGTAGCCCGTCTTACAGGTGAGGTTGTGGGGGCTCGGTGACATTAAGGGACCACTACAGGAGCTCCCATTCACCTGGTCCTCCTCCCACATGGAACCCACCTGGGCTGGCCCCACTCAGCTGATGGTGGTCTCAGCCGACGGTGGTCGCAGCCACCAAGATTGGATGAGGTTTCCAGGGCTCAAGAAGAGGCTGAACGTGTCTTAAAGGGTCCCTCGTGGTGACAGCAAGATCACGGGGGTAATTAGAGCCTAGCATGGCCTCTGAATGACGCATCAGTGGGTCTGCAGTCCCCTGGAGGTCCTCTCCCATCCTGGGGTGCCTGAGCCCAGCCACCAGGGCTGGTTTCTGCAAAAGATGAGCATCTCAGAGGGGCTGCACAGCAACCTGTACTGAAATGACCCCCGGCCCCCAGCGTGAGTGCTGGGTCCTGGACAGTGCCGCTGGTCCAACAAACTGAGGCTACTGATGCCCTCCACATCAGGGGTCTTCATTGAAGACTCCCACCTGATTGTTCTCAGAACCGCCTCCCATAGCTCAGGTGAGCCACAGGGGGGCCTCCCGGGGGCTGCCCGGCCCTGCCAGGGTGTTTGCTCTCAGGGAATCACCGGACAAGTGCACAGAAATGACCTGGCTGCGTTCACCCACAGGGCGCGCGAGAGGCGTGAGCCGAGACAGAGCGTGAGAATTCTGTGATCCCAGGAAGAGGCCAAAACGGCTGCACGTGCAGCTAGCATCCACCAAACCAAAAGAATTAACTGAGAACACTGTGGCTTGACCGCTTTCAACAGGGCTGTTATTAACAACGTCACCTGCTGTCCCTTATATAAGGACGAGTGAAGTAGAGAATAGAATTGTGGCCAGCATCGCGGCTCACTAGGCTAATCCTCTGCCTTGCGGCGCCGGCACACCGGGTTCTAGTCCCGGTCGGGGCGCCGGATTCTGTCCCGGTTGCCCCTCTTCCAGGCCAGCTCTCTGCTGTGGCCAGGGAGTGCAGTGGAGGATGGCCCAAGTGTTTGGGCCTTGCACCCCATGGGAGACCAGGAGAAGCACCTGGCTCCTGCCATTGGATCAGCATGGTGCGCCGGCCGCAGCGCGCCGGCCGCGGTGGCCATTGGAGGGTGAACCAACAGCAAAGGAAGACCTTTCTCTCTCTTTCTCTCTGTCTCTCTCTCTCGCTGTCCACTCTGTCGGGGTAAGAAAGGATAAAAAATAAACTCAATCAACCCGAAGAAGAGAGAGAGAGAATAGAATTGTTGCATTCCACCAACTGTGGTTCCAGGGCTGGGTAAGCCGCAGAACACCAAAGCCACCCTCCCTCCTCCCCTCTGCGCGCAGCTCTGGAACCTGAACAGAAGGGCTAGCACAGGCGTTTGTGGACACTGACAGCTAACTCGCAGCAGGCACGCTGGGGACCAAAACCACCATGCCACCTTCCCTCCAGGACAGCCCAGACAGACCTCCACGCAGTCCTGAGCGTTGTGAGGCAGGCGGAGCGCTCCAGGAGAAACAGCACAGCAGTGGGGGAGGAGATGAATGTCCCAGGTTTCCCCCACTTGCTCGCCTCCATCCGTGCGCACCCCAGGCCCTAGGCAATTCTGCGGGGACAGCAGCAGCAGGCAGCCCCGGGTGCCTGCAGCCCTGATGTCTCTCTCCATCTGTTTTGCCCGTGTTCAGCCCGAGGGAGCATGGCTGCGGACATAGGCAGGTTCTTGCCAGATAGAAAAGGGGAGACTCACGGAACCCCTTCTGGTTTCCTGTAGCAGGGAGGCAATGAACTGTTTAATGCACTCCTGGGCTCACTCCCAACCTGTGTGCACACGGAACGGGTCCCAACGGCACAGCCACGACTTGGAGAACAGTGATGATAGATAGATCTCTGCCCGCATCCCCGACTGGCCCCTGGAGGAGGCACGCACCGTGTAGCCCTGCAACACTTTAGATACTCAGCTGACAATGTGATGACAGCCCCAACCTGCTGTTGAAGCTAAGTGGTACCAGTGCCTGCTGAAACAAAACGCCATTTTTCTCTCTGGGGCTTTGGTAGGACAGGGTCACATAATGGAGTGATTCAAATGGCCAGGATACAGGGCAGGTGTGTGGCCTGGCAGCTTAGATGTCGGCGGGGATGCCGACGAATGGATATCACAGTACCCGAGTTCAAGTCCCGGCTCTGCTTCCTGCTCATATGCACCCTGGGAGGCAGAGATGATGGCTCCAATAATCAGGTCCTTGCCATCAACACGGGACACTGGAATTGAGTTCCCAGGTCCCAGCTTGGGCCTGGCCCAGTGCTGGGGAGACAGCAAGTGGCAGTTCTTTGTCTGTCTTCCTCTACCTCTCAAATAAGTAATTAAAAATAAAATGACTAGGATAAAATGCAAAAATTACTTGGCATTACATAATCATGACAATTACAACTCACATGACAGAAGACAATCAACAGAAGATATCAAATAAAATGACATAGATGCCATAATTATATAAGACTTTTAAGTGTCACTTAAAAATCCCTAAAAGCAAATAATCACTAAAGCTGTTGAAACAAGTATTAAAATAGAACGTATCAGTTAAAAAAAAAAAAAAACAGGTGATATAGCAACCAAATGGAGATTTTAGAGCTAAAATTGTAATAACCATAACTTTAAAAAAAAATAAACCTTGCTGGCTGGACTCAGTGCCAGAAATGGAGATGAAGACGAGCCAGTGAGCTTGAAGATGCATCAGCAGAAATTATCCTATCTAAGCAACACAGAGGAAGAAAACACTGAGCACACAGATGAACAGTGCCGCAGGGAAGTGTGGGAGAAAACCAGCAAGTCTGTGTCCCTGGGGTTCCAGAGTGAGGTCCCGGAACGAATGGATCCAAAGGTTGGTGAAGAAAACCCAGTGCAGGCCGGCGCCGTGGCTCACTAGGCTAATCCTCCACCTTACGGCGCCGGCACACCGGGTTCTAGTCCCGGTCGGGGCGCCAGATTCTGTTCCGGTTGTTCCTCTTCCAGGCCAGCTCTCTGCTGTGGCCCGGTGGTGCAGTGGAGGATGGCCCCAAGTTCTTGGGCCCTGCACGTGCATGGGAGACCAGGAGAAGCACCTGGCTCCTGCCTTCGAATCAGCGCGGTGCACTGTGGCGGCCATTGGAGGGTGAACCAACGGCAAAAGGAAGACCTTTCTCTCTGTCTCTCTCTCTCTCACTGTCCACTCTGCCTGTCAAGACAGACAGACAGACAGACAGAAAGAAAGAAATTAAAGAACACACTTTTCAATAGTCCAAGGATCGAAGAGGATATCCCAAGGAAAATGATAAAAATACTCTTAGCTGAATGAAAATAACTATACTACGTACCAGAATCTGTGAAATGTGGCTGACACAGACCTTAGCAGGAAAAT